AAATGGTACAATGAGATACCACCTTACTCCTACAAGAATGGTCATCATTAAAAAGTCAAAAAACAATAGATCGATGGCATGGATGTGGTAAAAGGGAAATGCTTATACACGGCTGGTGGAAATGTAAATTAGTGCAGCCTCTGTGGAAAACACTATAAAGATTCCTTAAATAACTAAAAGTAGATCTGCCATTTAATCCAGCCAAAAAGACACATCCACATCTATATTTATTTCAGCACAATTCACAATTGCAAAGATACAGAATCAGTGCCCACTGACTAATTAGTGGATAAAGGAAATGTGGTATATATACACCACGGAATAATACTCAGCCTTAAAAAGGTATGAAACGATATCTTACGCAGTAAGTTGGATGGAGCTGGAGGCTATTATTCTAAGGGAAGTAACTCAGGAGTGGAAAACCAAATACCATTTGTTCTCACTTACAAGTGGGAGCTAAACCGTGAGTATGCAAAGGCATACAGAGTGGTGTAATGGACTCTGGAGACTCAGAAGGGAAAGGGTGGAAGAGGGGGTAGAATTTTTAAAACCTACATATTAGGTACAACCTAATATGGGTTGATGGGTGCACTGAAATCTCAGAATTTGCCACAGTGTAATTCATCTATGTAATCAAACATCACTTGTATCCCCGAAGCTATTAAAATTTTAAAAATATTTTAAAAATAAAATAAAAACCAAAGCATTACATATATCATGATATTTCTAATCATCAAACATGAAATAAAAATGTAAATTTAAATACCATCCAAAAAATAAAGTGGTAAACTTTTATGGCATGTTTGAGGACCTGGAGGGATGCTAGATTGTAGGGTCCTCAGGAAAGGGAGACACGGGCTGGGGCCACCAGACAGTTGTGTCTGGGGCCTTCAGGACCAATCCAATGACTATCACTTCCTCTCCATTGTCAGTTCTCATTAGGTGAGAAAATGTGCTGATGTTTTCTCTGGGTCTGCTTTGAACCAAAGCTGCATCCTCCATCAACCTGGCTTGAGCTGGCCCAGATCAGGATTGACACCGTCTCTAGCTCTGGCCTCAACGAGCATCTTAGGGATTCTGGGTTAGGGTAGGTACCTGGTGGACCCAGGTAGCCTCCAGAGGGGAAGTGCTTAGGCTCATGGGAGTAGACACAGTGAAAATAGTGGTGAGGCTGGAGAGGATGGGAGTGAATGTACTTAAATACCCTGGAGTCTATTTAGGCTAGCACTTTATGCCCATTATCCCATTTAATCCTCACAATCAATCATTCGGAATGTCAAGGCATTGAGGGCAGAGAGCTGAAGGGACTTGGTTACAGTCCCTTCAGCTGTAAGAGCAGGTGGCAGAGTTGTCTGTCCCCAGAGCTTTTTGGGGGACTTATGTGGGATTCTTAGCAGGATTTCCAAGCAGTGGATTAAATTTTCTCCTGGCAGAAGGGACGTGAAAAGTCCTAAAGCCTGGCTCTTGATCGTCTCCTGGGCAGATGTCCCCTCTTAAAGTCTCTCCCTCCCTGGCCCTTGCCAGGCTTACTCTCTGCTCCCACAGGTTCAGCTGTCAGAACAACCCCTGAGTCCAGGCACAGAGGGGAGGCGACCAAAGGGACCTGACACCCAGCTGGCTTTGGGGACCTCTCCTCTCCTTGCTAGCTCCACATTGGTGGCCTGGGTCCTCAGTACCCACTGGGGCCCTGCTGTACCCCAGGTTCTGCCTGGCTCACCTTCCACCAGCAGCACCATCCCCACAGCCAGCACCTCGAGCTCCCCGAAGCCAGTGGGCAGGGTGCTGGTCTCTGCCATTCTTGCTCTCCCTTCGTCAGTGACCCAGCTGTCTCTGGCTTCCTACAGCCAAGCCCTCCCTTTTAAAGGGCCAACCCACATGTGTGCAGGCACATGCAGGTTATTATGCTGAACCTTGGGCTTTTTCTGGATGCCTCCCTCCTGTAAATGGGTCCTCTTGGCCCAAGCAGAAGGAATCCATTCACGAGTTGGACAATGCAGCCTTTGTGAAGCCAGAATGGAGCCCTGTCTCATTCATTTCAGCCCCATTGCACAGGATTAAGGTCAGGGAATCCAAATGTTGTGTGTGGCTGAGAGCCTAATTGGAAAAGAGTTGCATAACCAGGGGAGGGGAGCAAGCGGAGGAATTTGAGCCACAGCTGTTCCTGACAAGCCCGGTGTCTGTGTGCATGTGTCCTCAGGCTCACATGCGTGTGCTCCAAAGCGCTGAGGAAAGGATGAGGTTTGGGAAGTTACCTGCTGTCAGAGGAAGAACCCCAACTAGGACCAGAGAATGGGGTTCTGGTTCCAAATCTGCCACTAACCAGTTACGTGCCCTGGAGTGGGACCACTGGACTCTTCTGTTTACTTTTCTGCAATGTCAGTGTCTTTTGTCCCTGTCGTCTGTGTAAGTCCTGGTTAGACAACGTGAATATAAACCTCAGGGCTGCACTTCCTGTCTCTCATACAGCACTTGAGCCCTACAAGCATAAAACATCTCCTAGGACACTGTTTTAGAACAGAGGGGCTGCTATCTTGTCAGTTCCTCCCTGCACCCGCCTCCCTCCCCACTAACAGCTTAGGTTGCTACAAATGATTTCTTGGTACACCGGCTCTTTATGCACTGTTATGTGCTGGCTCATGGTAAAATTTGCACCAGGAAACACTGATCTAGGGTACCTTAACTCATTTTCAGATAAAGAAACCAAGCCCCAGGGCACTGTTGGCAACACAGCTCATATTGAATGAGGTCAGGCACTGTGCTAAGGGATCTTCTGATGAGTCCTACAAACAATTCCATGAATTAGATACCATTATCCTTTCCATTTCAGATGAGAAAACTGTGGCTGAAAGCTGTTAAGAATCTTCCTGAGGCCACGTAGTAATTTATGGATGGAGCTGAAACAAAAGCTGGATCTCCTATTCCCCAGGCTCAGGCACTTTTCAATGGCATCTTCTGATGCACTCTGGTAGAGCAACCCATTCTGTTCCATCAACATCCACTTCCCAGGCCTTTCCTCTCATGGGTCCTCACTTATCTCCAAGCCAAATCCCTCCTCAGGGCCGAGCTTATGATTGCAACCTCCAGAGCTTCCCTATTCTTTCTCAATTTCTACCTTAGGATGTTGGTTATTACCTGTGTCCGTCCTTTTTTCATGCCTTCGAGATCACAAAAGCCTTCATGAGAAGAGAAAGCAGGGCAAGGCCAAGATTGAAGGGTAAAGTTCATTTAGGCAAAAGATGAAGGAGAAAGAAGCAGAGATGTGGGAACAGGCAAGCTGGTGGCTGGGTTTGGGGAGGAGGAAGTATAGCTGGGAAGCACTGAGAAAACCCTACCGGCTGCATCGGAAGGATAGAATGAGAAGCCAGTATTGTCAAAACAGACCTGGCAGAGAGTTAGGCAGATATGTGTGCACTGGGGCCCCAGATATCTTTGCGGGCCATAACTCACTGGTCTAGGCCTGGCTGGACCCACAGGCCTGAGGGACTGGGGAACCTTCCAGAAAAGCCAAAGAACTTACGTAGGGCATGTTGGACCAGAAAACAATGCCTTGGGGTCAAATGTGAGGAATGAATGAATCAGTCGGCTGAGTGTCTACTACTGGGAATCATCCCTGGTCAGTCCGCACTGGCCTATTGAGTAGATATGGTAGGGTGGGATAGGATTAGGAGATAATAGATAAAAATTGAAATTGAGCTGGGTACAGTGGCTCAGGCCTGTAATCCCAGCAGCACTTTGGGAGACTGAGGCAGGAGGATCGCTTGAGGCCAGGAGTTTGAGTCCGGCCTGGGCAACATACCAAGAACTGGTCTCTACAAAAAATAATTTTTTAAAAATAGCCAAACGTGGTGGTGCTTGCCTGTAGTTCCAGCTACTCGGGAGGCTGAGGCAGGAGGATGGCTTGAGCCCAGAAGTCTGAGGCTTCAGTGAGCTATGATTACACCACTGCACTCCAGTCTGAGCGACAGCAAACCCTGTCGCTACAAAGCAAAGCAAAGCTTTATGGATGAGAATTTCCAAAGGCCCTTATTGGAGGCTGGAGTTTTGTCTCCAAAATAAAACCTGAAAGTGCCTTCTCTAAGAACTCTTTGAGCTACTCCTTTGGGACCCTTCTTGGAATATGATCCCTTGAGGAGAGGGGTGCCCTTGTCCCTCATTGTGGAGCCATCCCCACCTTTGGCATTCGTAGTAATTCCTGGAAGGGCTCAGCTGAAATAGCAGTGCTCTGAGTCCCATATCCATGGGGTACTCAAGGCAGGCAGCTTTTTGCCTGGCAGCCTGGGACAGTTTGTGGGCTCATGAGAGACACCTCTGATGTCTCTTCAAAATGTCTGAACCTGTCCAGTTCCTATGTAACCAGGGACTTGTAAGTATCAGTGAAATTGGGTACTGTACTTACAACTTGTGAGAGAGCTTCCATTCTCACAAGCTGTCAAGGCTTTGGCATTTGAGTTTAATTTTCATAAACACCCTGCATGAAATAACTTTATTTCTCTTTGTCAGATAAGGACACAGAGGCTAAGAGATAATGTGACTCATCCAAGGTCACAGCCCATTAATGAAACAGTTGGGATTTGAACCCAGGAATGAGCTTGGGCTCCTTCTAATGCCTTTCGCACCGTCAGGAAGAGCTGCTTCATTTCGGTGCTTTTTTTGCTATGAGACAATGTCACAGGAAAGAGTTTCCAAAGGGCCTTATTAGAAACTGGGGTTCTGTCTCTATCTTCGCTGGCACTCGTGGAGTCTGTGTTGTCTGTGGCTTGGTTGGGATGGGGTGCTTTGCAGATGACAGTCCCATGGCTGCTTGCCTCTGGGAAGCTGCCTACTTGTCTTGCTTTGCTGTGCCCTGGCCTCTCTGGGCCTGTGGCTGTTGCTACAGAAGGGGGTCCCCCACCCCCACCCTCAGGACTGAGTGATTCAGACAGAAATAAGCTGCTGAGTGCTGCGGCTGGGACTCCCCTCCCTAATCCCCAGCCTGTCCGTGTTTATCCGATGGCCTCAGGAGGGAGTGTAAGGGGCTGGCGAGCAAGTGGGCAGCTGCTGGGCTTCCTGGGCTTGCTGGGCTGGTGGGACTGAGCGGTCCAGGGACAGGCCCCTGCCTGGGCCAGAGAGGAGCCAGGAGCCATGAGGGTGGCAGTGGGCATGCTCTGGCTCTTGGCCCTTGGGTGGCCTCCCCAGGCCCGGGGCTCCTGCCCCTCTCACTGCAGCTGCAGCCTCCACATCCTGGGTGATGGCAGCAAGGCCAGGTATGGTACCGGGTGCGTGGGATGGACAGCCCAGCCTCCATTGCTCTGCCAGCTAGGCTGGGTTGGAGGGAGATGGAGCCGGGGCCCTGAGAGCAAGACCGGGTGAGATATTCATCTCCCCTGGCCCTTGAGGCCCAGGGATTCTATAGGGTGGTCTGGGCTGCATTATTTTCCAGCAAGCAAGGGAATGACTCTGTCCAAGAGGTACCAGGTACCTTTGCATATGGACCCGAGGGTGAGGCACAAGTGTGCCTGTTTTAGAAAGTCCTTCCTGAATCCTCCTCCAGGCTCCTGGTGGGGAAGAGCCCTCCTTAAAGCTCTGGAAGTCTCCTCCCTTACTGCTTTCTTTTCTTCTCCTTGCTTTTTTCTATTCCCTCTTCTTTTCTATATTTCCCCAGCTCCTTCTTTCCCAGGCCTCTTGCACTGTCTTGCCTGACCTCTCTACAACACCCAGTCATATCCCAGGGATTTCCTACAACCCCACCCACGATGGGACCACTTGCCTCTCATTCTTCCTCCTTTGGATCTTGGATCTTCTCTGATCCCAGAGAAGAAGAGATCCCAGAAGCCTCAGCCTCAATCCCTTCTATGGGTACTCCAAAAAGCCAGGAGGACTCATCCCATGAGAAGCATGCTCCCTTCCATCCTCAGCCTTTTCCTTGATTTTCCCCACCCTCTGTCTGATCCCTCAGAGCACTTCCATCCTCTCCTTCTCTCCTCCCATGGGACATTGTGGCTTGTGGACCCTTGCTCTCCCACTACTGCTCATTTTCTTCTTTTCTTTAGCAATTTTACCCCATCTTTCCTCCAACTTCTTCAGCTTACCCATTAGCAACCACTGCATGGTTTCTGAGCCACTTATGGCTTCTGACCCTGGAAGCAATGTTATTGGAGCTGCCCTTTTAATAATCTCAGGAATGAATGTCAAGTGGATTGGGGGATGAGAGAAGGCAGAGAAATGAAGAAGAACCACCAAGAAAAGACACCCTGCATGACTTGAGAAACAGAATGAACTCCACTGTAACCCAAGTGTCCAATGCATCAACTCATGTGGAGGGTAGGGATCCTCTCCCCAGGAGAAGCCAGGCGGAGCACTGAACAGGCTGGAAATATCCCATGGCCAAGGACAGTGTCACTGGAGTGACAAAAACCCTCCCCACCACCCATAGACAGCATAGAGCTGAAATCCACACAGCATCATTGACGAAACCAGTCCTGGAACCCAGGCATTCCAGTTCCGTTTTCAGAAACTTTATCTGGTGATGCCACTATGCGCAGGGACCAGGGATGAATTACAGGCAGCAGAGCTAGCCTCAAGACGGAAAATGAGTTTCGAGGGCTGCTAATGTAAGTCAGTGGGCATTCCCTCTTCTGAAGCCAGAGGTCTTGGTTCTACCTCCCTGACCATTCCATGGCTAACACACACCAGCCCCTCTGCATGAAGGGTCCTATGAGGCCATAAAGGCTGTAGCAGGCCCTGAGGTCCCCTGTGGCTCTGGGCACAGACTATGCAGTTAAACCGAAGCTCCTTCTGCATCTCAGAAGGCTTCCTCAGGTCCCTCTCTAACCTGGGCCTCTCGGAGAACTTAGCCTTTATGTCTGAGCTGCTGTATCGTGAAGTGTGTACCTGTGGGCACTAGGGTTGCCTGGGAGGACCTGGGCTGTGCACCTGAACGGATTTGTGCCCATGCTGTTTGTCCCAGTTTGCCCCTGGTTTTACCCCACCAGGAGTTGTGCTGTAGGTTTGAGCTATGATGTAGGCTTTGGCTTCTTATGGTTTCCTTTAATTCCCTTTTTGACCATTTTCTCCCCACCCCAAGATAAGTTTTTTTCCAATCACCTGTCTTTCTCTCACCTACATTCAGACCTTCTTCCTTGCAATACCCAAACATGTATTTTTTTTTTTTTTTTTGAGACACAGTCTTGCTCTGTCACCCAGGCTGGAGTGCAGTGGCACGATCATAGCTCAATGCAGCTTCCAACTCCTGGGCTCAAGCTACCCTCCCAACTTATTCTTCTGAGTAGCTGGGACTATAGGCATGAACCATCACACTTGGCCAAACCTATTTTATTATCTGGAAGTATTATTGCTGTAAATGCTTTCTTCCCGAGCTAGATTATACACTGTATGAGGACAGGGGCTACGAGGTTGATTCTATTCTATTCTGAATTGTCCATCACTTAATAGGAGTTCCATGTATGTTTGCTCAAAAGGAGGAAAAACATCTGTGCTGTTTGTGGGCACTGTTTACAAGAAAAAACCAGCCCAGTCCAGCTGCCTTTAAGTGGAGTATATGAGTTACGCCAAGAGATGCCGGTGATGTGTGTGCACTTGCAGGAATGACTGATATGACCAGTATGTTACGCTATGACAAGAGGTTATGCTATTACAAACTCCCTTAGATGGGTCTGTTCCGTGGTTGGGGGGCTTAGGATTTTATTTTCAGTTTATGTAGTATAAAACATAGCGCTGAAATGTAGGCTCCTTGAGGGCAAAGGCTGCCTCCCGTTTTCTCTCTATCCTCTGCTTTAGTCTCAAGCTTAATAGAATAAGGTTTAAGAAGTTGTGGTTTGGGTAGAAGAGCTGATAAGAGTGACCCGATCTACTGTCCCTGCTGAGATGCAAACATTTATGACAGTGACCCATACCTTGGGTTCATGCAGGGTGGCAGGCAGCGTGCTGGTCTTGTACATGCATTATCTCATTTAAACCCTGTAACCACATTGTGGAGTCTATTTGATGGCAAAACAGGAAAATAGAGGTTACGGAATGTACTCAAGGACTTATAGCCAGCAAGCAAAGAGCCCAGGTGTGAATCCAGCTGTGGGGCTGCCAAGTCCTGGCTCGTAAACACCTTGATCATTACCTGACTCCCCAGAATTGGGAGAGATTTGAGGCACTTTCATTTTTGATATCCTTGGTATATTTTTTGTGGAATGATAAACCAAAGCAGTTACAAAAATTTAGATATAATTTAACAAACAAACAGGGTATTTTTTTTTTTTTTTTTTTTTTGAGACGGAGCGTTGCTCTGTTACCCAGGCTGGAGTGCAGTGGGGTGATCTCGGCTCATGGCAGCCTCCACCTCCGGGGTTCAAGCGATTCTCCTGCCTGGGATTACAGGCACGTGCCACCACGCCCAGCTAATTTTTGCGTTTTTAGTAGTGAGGAGGTTTCGACATGTTGGCCAGGTTGGTTTCGAGCTCCTGGCCTCAAGTGATCTATCCGCCTGGCCTCCCAAAGTGCTGGGATGACAGACCTGAGCCACCGCGCCCGGCTACACTTTTAACATATATTTGCAAAGCAACAGTGCACAGCGTCATGACGGGGTTTATTAATACTGTTCATTCTTAGTGCACTGCGGGTGCGGCGGGCTGTTATGGGTCATGAGTGTAAGGGTGAGGTCTTGCAGGACAGTGAAGACCAGATGACCTTTCTGGGACCCTTGTGAGAGGCTCTGAGAGCAAAGGGAAAAGTGGGGCTGCTTGCTCTGGGCCCCTCTCCAGGTCCCCGCCATGGCTTGGACTCTGGTGTGGGCGTCTTGTGATCCGAGCAGAACCAAAGGCCTCGCGGAGGGAGGTAGCGGTGGGAGATTCCAGACCCAGCAGGATCCTTGCTCAACTATCCCCCGTTTCTGCGACCAGGACGGTGGTGTGCAACGACCCCGACATGACCCTGCCCCCCGCGTCCATCCCCCCGGACACCTCCAGACTGCGCCTGGAGCGAACGGCCATACGCAGGGTGCCTGCCGAGGCCTTCAGGCCCCTGGGCCGCCTGGAGCAGCTGTGGCTGCCTTACAACGCCCTCAGCGAGCTCAACGCCCTCATGCTGCGGGGCCTGCGACGCCTGCGGGAGCTGCGGCTGCCCGGGAACCGCCTGGCCGCCTTCCCCTGGGCCGCGCTCAGGGACGCCCCCCAGCTGCGGCTGCTGGACCTGCAGGCCAATCGCCTCTCGGCTGTGCCCCCTGAGGCCGCGCGCTTCCTGGAGAACCTCACCTTCCTGGACCTCTCCAGCAACCAGCTGCTGAGGCTCCCGCAGGAGCTGATCGCCTCCTGGGCTCACCTGAAGACCGGTCTCTTCCCTCCCGGCCACCACCCCAGGCTGGTCCTAGGTAAGAGGCGGCATCCTTCACCTGGGGTCTTAGGCAAGTTACGCTTCTCTGAGTTTCAATTCTTTATTTGGAAAATTGAAATGATACCTGCCATCCGGGTTTCAGCAAAAGCAATGAGATCCGGCCGGGCGCGGTGGCTCACTCCTGTAATCCAAGCACTTTGGAGACCAACGCGGGCGGATCACCTGAGGTCGGGAGTTCAAGAGCAGCCTGACCAACATGGTGAAACCCCGTCTTTAAAAAAGAGGGGCGGGTTTATGAGCTCAAGCGCCAAGCCAGACTGTGGCAGTTCAAATCCCTGTCATAAAAGAGGTCTTTCCAGGTCACACAACCAGGAGAAGGCCCCTGAGACTCAATTTCCCAACTCAGAGCTGAATGGGTTAGTACACTACACCAGCCGGACCTGCTATTTCTTCGGTTCCTTCCTGTTCCTAACAAACCAACGGCTTACCATGGGAACTAGATCTCCTTTCCTGCCCAAGGCACCTGCCTAGCCCTCAGAATGGCAGGAGCATAGTTCATTCTGGAAAATTGATCTGAATTCTACAAATCATACATGAATAAATACAAATGTTTAATATATCGCAGAAGAGGGTAAAGACCCTTTTGTCCTCTCTCCCTATTCCAACCCCCTCTCAAAAGTAGTTACTATTATTATATTTATATTCAAGCTCCTTATCTGTTCAGATACATTTCATATGCATATATATATAAGTGTATACACATACCTGCATGTACGCAGAAAGGTTATTTGTGTGTTTTACATAAAATTTTGTCATATTATACATACTAACCAACACTAACTTTTTGACCCAACATTGTATCTTGTAGATATTTCTAGATTTTTACAAATGGGTCAAGTTCATTTTAAAAACTACTGCACAATATTCTATAGTATGCTATGTCTGCGGTATGTTATAAACATAATTATACTATAGTTTATTTAATCATTCCCCCTTTAATGGACTTTTAAAATTGTTTCTATTATTTTGTTAACATCTATGATGAAACAGAAAACATTTTTGGCACATTCTTGTACACATAAATGTTTCTCTAGGATAGGAACAGACAGGTGGAATTATTAGGTCACGGAGTGTGCATATTAGACATTTAAAAATCAATCTGACCCAGGTACAGTGGCTCACGTCTGTAATCCCAGCACTTTGGTAGGCCGAGGCAGGTGGATCACTTGAGGTCAAGAGTTCGAGATCAGCCTGGCCAATATGGTGAAACCCTGTCTCTACTAAAAATACAAAAATTACCCAGATGTGGTGGTGGGCACCTGTAATCCCAGTTTCTTGGGAGGTGGAGGCAGGAGAATCGCTTCTAGGAGAACCTAGAAGGTGGAGGTTGCAGTGAGCTGAGATCGTTCACTGCACTCCAGCCTGGGCAATGAGTGACACTCCGTATTTTTGAATGCCTTCCAATTCTAGGTGCTGGGAATACAACAGAGAGCAAAAGAGATGACAATCTATTCACTCATGGAGCTAACAACTAAAATGGCCAAAATGTTTGACTTTTGCCAGTCTGGCAAGTAAAAGTCTCATTGTTGTTTAACTTTGCCTTTTACATTCAGTCTTTCTGGCCTTATTGTGATAAAGCAAAAGCCAGGTAGCTCACCACTGGAGCCAGGCATTGATGAATCTTGGGTTGCAGATGTATCACTAAGTGCATTTAACCAGCCATGTAAGGCAGCGGCCACTGGTGAGATGGGGTGAGGGGCAGGTAGGAAAAGGAACTGGCACCCTTGGGTTCTGCTCAAAGAGACCTGAGAGACATGAATATACAGTCACATCTGAATGCACCCACCCTAACCCTTTGACACCCCCCTTTCCAAATGTATTAAATATATCTATAAGAATGTGTAAGTTGTCACTGATTATTAGATATACTATCAAATAAGTCTTTGGGGACTAATGGGACATCATATCAAATGCATTTATCTTGCATTTCAGTAATGCAACCCTATAAGAAGGAATTGTTCCTTAGAACTGAGGACACACGGTACCCCTCATTTATATGCACATGGTACCCCGCTATCTCTGTAATGTTCTTTGACACTGCTTTCAGCTCTGTAAGAATGTTCAGTTTTAGAGTAAAGACAGTAGGGGATAGATCCTAGGATTTGATTTTCTGGCCCTTTCACCCTGCTGTTTATGCCCATGTGAGTCTATGTCAAAGTGACCGTGGATCAGAGCAGACACCTTCATTGCTGGGATGATGCTGAAAATACCATTAACACTGGGAGAACTGGCATCAAGGATCAGGGGTCAGTGATACATGTCTATAAATGAGATTTTGTCATATTGCAATTATTGTGGAAATACTGCCTGGCCAGCGGCCTGAAAGAATCAGTCCAAGAATGGCAAGGGTAATTGCCAGTTTTGTCAGTATGCTATATAGCTACCCAGTACTTAATATGATTTATTTTTGTTTATGTTTAAAGCAACCCTGAAAAGAAAGTAATGCTATCATTTAACACAAAGAATCAAATTTTAGGTCATACAATTAATAAGGCAAGGAGCTGGGCCCAGAGGCCAGTTCTGCTGACTCTGAATGAGGACCTGCCTGTCCTCCCAAAGGAGATGGGGTGCTGGGCCTGAGGACCTTGAAAATCTATCTGTATATCTTGTCTTCTATTTTACCCCTGCAGGGCTACAGGACAACCCCTGGGTATGTGACTGCCAGCTCTATGACCTGGTCCATCTTTTGGATGGCTGGGCCCCAAACTTAGCCTTCATTGAGACCGAATTGAGATGTGCCAGCCCACGCAGCCTGGCCAGAGTGGCCTTCAGCCAGCTTGAACTGAGAAAGTGCCAGGGCCCAGAGCTCCATCCAGGAGTGGCCAGCATCAGGTCCCCTTTGGGGGGCACAGCATTGCTACGCTGTGGAGCTACTGGAGTCCCTGGGCCTGAGATGAGCTGGAGGAGGGCCAATGGCAGGCCCCTTAATGGTACAGGTATGTGAGCTAAAGGGAGGATACACTAAGACCCCAGACTGGGGAGGACAAAGCAGTGCCCCAAATGGGGAGTTGGCAGGGTCAGAGGGAATTTGTCTAAGCAAGGCTGGGCTTCTATCTGCCTGAGTTGAGTTTGACAGCGGCTTCCCAGAGGCAAGTCATTGTGACAATAGATTCAACAATGACAACGTCTCTTGACCTGTCCTATCATATCCCACCAGCCACTCTGTAGAGACTCGGGGCCCACCCCGAGAGAACAAAAAGCTGACTTTTTGATGAAAGTCTCTCTTTTAGTGTATTAATATTTATAAGTTTCCCAGTTGTAAATATTAAACCAGAATTACCTGGAGTAATTAATGATGTGAGCTACCATCTGCTGAGCTCTTCATGTGGGTCTAGTACAATGCTAAGTGTGTTATGCACATAATAACATTGAACTTCAAGGAGCATTTCCTTCTTATTTTGCATATAAGAAAACTGAGGCTCTGAGAGGCTAAATGCTGCATCACACAGTTTGTACAAGGAGGAGCTGGGGTTCCAGTAAAATCTGTCTGGTTACCTTTGTAAAATTCCAGTGCCCTTAAGAACAGGGTGGGTTGACTGGGCATGGTGGCTCATGCCTATAATCCCAGCACTTGGGAGGCTGAGGCAGGAGGATTGCCGGAGTCTAGGAGTTATCAGCCTGGGCACCATAGTGAGATCTTGTGTCAAAAAAAAAAAAATGCTGTACATGGTGGCACGCTGAGGTGGGAAGATCACTTGAGCCTGGGAGTTACAGGCTGGAGTGAGCCATGATCACACCACTGCACTCCAGCCTGGAGTGACGGAGCAAGACACTATCTGAATAAAGCAAACAAAAGACCCATAGTGCGAACTTGTCAGATTTAGAAGGTGTCATTCTTAGGCTCTGCCGCAACCTGGGGCTCCAAAGGCTCCCCACATTTGAGCCCAAGGTAATATTGATCCTTTGGTTCGTCTAAGAAAAGTTGAATGACTGCCAGTGTTTTCTCAGGACGACACCTGAGTGTATACCACATAGGAGCTGTGAACTTGGCCCTGAATGGCAGCTTGGGGCAAATGGGTCCATTCATTCTCTCACTTATGCCTGTTTTCCTCCTAGTGCACCAGGAAGTATCCAGTGATGGCACGAGCTGGACTCTGCTGGGCCTACCTGCAGTGTCCCACCTTGACTCTGGAGACTACATCTGCCAAGCCAAGAACTTTCTGGGAGCCTCTGAGACTGTTATCTCCCTGATCGTCACTGAGCCGCAGACTTCCACAGAACACAGTGGGAACCCAGGGGCACTATGGGCAAGGACAGGTGGAGCGGGGGAAGCTGCTGCTTACAACAACAAGCTGGTGGCCAGGCATGTCCCCCAGATTCCCCAACCCGCTGTCCTGGCCACTGGACCCTCTGTGCCCAGCACGAAGGAAGAACTGACCCTCCAGCACTTCCAGATGGATGTCCTGGGAGAGCTCTCTGATGGGCGGGCAGGACCCTCAGAGGCACAAATGGTGAGATCTGTGAAGGTAGTGGGGGACACTTACCACAGTGTGTCCTTGGTGTGGAAGGCGCCCCATGCGAAGAACACAACTGCCTTCAACGTCCTCTATGCAGTCTTTGGGCAGCACAGCATGCGGCGGGTGATTGTGCAGCCTGGGGAGACCAGAGTGACCATCACTGGGCTGTTGCCCAAGACCAAGTACGTGGCGTGTGTCTGCGTGCAGGGCCTGGTACCCCGGAAGGAGCAGTGTGTTATCTTCTCCACGAATGAAGTGGTGGATGCGGAGAACACCCAGCAGCTCATCAATGTGGTGGTGATTAGTGTGGCCGCCGTCATTGCCCTGCCTCTCACACTGCTTGTCTGCTGCGGTGCTCTTCAGAGGCGCTGCCGCAAGTGCCGCACCAGGGACTCCACTGAGGCCACAGTTACCTACGTCAACCTGGAGAGACTGGGCCATAGCGAGGATGGCTCAGAGGAGCTGTCCCGGCACAGCCTCAGCGAGGCTGACAGGCTTCTCTCAGCTCGTTCCAGTGTGGACTTTCAGGCCTTTGGAGTCAGAGCCGGCAGGATCAATGAGTATTTCTGCTGAGGGATGTGCCTCCACCACTCACACACCTTCTCCGTCTGCTCTCCTTCTTTAACTCTGACACTTGACTACATGATCACCCACTCTTACCTGCTTGGGTACCTGCTTACTCAGACACCTGGGCACAACAGCAACAGCAGAAGCTATTGCAACAACCGCTAACACTTGTTAAGCACTTACTACATACCAGAAAGTGTTCTAAGTGCTAAATTCTTATAACAACCATTTGCAGCAGGCACCACTATTCTCTCCATTTCCCTTGGGTGAGAGGTTAGGAAACTTGCCTGTATCAGTCAGTTTTTGCTGCATAACAAATGAAAGCAAAATCTCAGTGATATACAGCAGTGAACACTTATTTTCACACTCACAGGTCTGTGGGTTGATTAGGGTGGCTCTGCTCTGTGTGTTTCATTTGGAGCCTGGGCTGGAGAGCAGCAGTGGGTACCTGGGGCAGGTTTCTCTCATGGTGAGGTTGAATGACAATAGAGGAATGATTTTTCATGCAATGCCTGTTAAGTTCTTAGTTCAGAATTGGCATACTGCCACTTCTGTCCATATTTTATCTGCCAAAGCAAGTCTCATGGCCAAACCCAACTTTAACGGGGCAAGCATGGACACTTCTTCCATGGAGGTGATGGTGGAGGAGGAAATATGTGCTGAACAGTGATCCAATCTACATTCCCCAGGATTACCCAGCTAGGCAAATTTAGGTGGCTCTGAGATTGGGACCACACAGTTGGGATCCACAGTTAAAAGTCCTCACCACCCTCATATACTGTACGTTGATTACATTTTATGCTAATTCATAGGCACTCACACACACCATCTCTCTATGCATTAGCCATTCTGGTAGCTACCCATCCACACTAACACACACACACCACACTCATAACCCACTGTGCCCTCACTGAATTCTAATATTTATTCTCTGGGTGCTATTCTGCCTAGAGACAATCATTTGGCTTTTTGATAAATGCTAGAGTTTGAGATGATGCTCAAGAGAACACTGCTCATTTGATTTCAGAATATCAGACTGGAGGGATCCAACAGACCTCATTATACCCTGTGCTGTCTGGCACCTTCACCTCTGCCCCCATACAGCAGACTTTGTGATAAATAAACCAACTTTAATAGATATTATTTTGTATTTATATAGCGCTTTAAGGGTGTCTCAGAGCCTTCCTGGTTGCTCGTCAAGTTATTTCAAAGGAAAATCCCTGCTCACTTTTTCTTAGAGCTGGGAAACCACTGAGATGTTGTCTCTGTGCACTGGAGAAAGCAAATGTTCCCAGCAGAAGGTTCAAGTGGTTCCTTGTTTACAGAGCTGATCTCTGTCGTGAAGAGCATCCGGGGTACCTGTGCCAAGTCCTTTGGGTAATAACTGAAGAAATTTTGGGACAGTAAGCTGTCAAAAAAAATTATTTTGCTAGTATTATGCAAAAGACTCCAAGCATTTGCAAGTATTATGTCATGTGATTTACTAGATAAAAGCCAGTGTGCCACAGTGCTTTCTAAAGTTACTGTACTCCCCCTCACATTTACAGAAGACCTTACCACATATTTCACCCAGTTTTCTCGCATTTGATACTCATAGAAACCCACTATGGTGGCTGGGCTGTTTGATTTTACAGATGAGGACCCAAGAGTAGACTGATTTATACAAGGAAGTGATGAATTCTCTTTTGGAATCCAGTTCTTTGACAATTTTCTCATCAGGCTGAGGGTCTTTATTCAGTATCGATCCCTGCAATGTGGTCCGCAGCAGGTTCACTGTAGAAATTGACTTCTTAAAATCACTGAAACCTGGGATCAGAACCACGAGAGCACCCATGAACATAAGCATGGAATTTCCTTGGATATCTTCTGCCACCACCTGGAGGGCGCACCTGACTATAACTTGTAGACTACAGACATTGGTAAGAGAGGCTGTTTTGTTGAAAGATGACAAAGACACCATGTACATCGGGAGCCAGCAAACTTTTCTCCTGAAAATAAAAGAAGGCAAATAGTAAATATTTTAGGCTCCGTTGCTACTACTCAACTCTGCTAATGAGATGCAAAAGGAGTCACAGACAATATGTAAGTTAGTGGGTATGGATGTCTTCCAATAAGACACTTTTTACAAAAACAGGTGACAGACTGGATTTGGCCCTCAGGCTGTAGTTTGTTTACCCCTTATGAAGATTTATAAAGGCATTTCTGGTGACTTTTTGGAGACCCAAGACTCAATTCTTACTGTTTGATAAATAAAGAGTGATAGATACACCCCAAATTAGGACGAATGTAAACATAGATGAAAGCAGTCATCTGTTGAAGTGATCAAGATGTTGCCTTTAAATAATTGTATGAACCAATCATGATGGGACAATTATTGACCTAAAGGCAACTAACAGTTAGCCAGTTTTTTTTTTTTTTTTTCTTTGAGACGGAGTTTCACTCATGTTACCCAGGCTGGAGTGCAATGGCGCGATCTCGGCTCACCGCAACCTCCGCCTCCTGGGTTCAGGCAATTCTCCTGCCTCAGCCTCCTGAGTAGCTGGGATTACAGGCACGTGCCACCATGCCCAGCTGATTTTTTGTATTTTTAGTAGAGACGGGGTTTCACCATGTTGACCAGGATGGTCTCGATCTCTTGACCTCGTGATCCACCCGCCTCGGCCTCCCAAAGTGCTGGGATTACAGGCTTGAGCCACCGCGCCCGGCCCCAGTTAGCCAGTTTTATTGGCTAAATGTCTGGAGAAAAATCAGAAACTTAAAAGCAAGAAATTTGTAGTATTTATCTTATCTTAACAGAGAGAGAGAGAGAGAGAAAGAGAGAGAGAATCCAATCTTGCCAATGATCCAATGATTCATTAGGATCTATTTTCATGGTCTAGGTGGAAAGTGCTCTCATATGGTTTGACAGTGTCCTCACCCAAATCTCACCTTGCATTGTAATAATTCCCATGAATCAAGGGCAGGGCCAGGTGGAGATCATTGAATCATGGGGACAGTTTCCCCTATACTGTTCTCTTGGTAATGAATAAGTCTCACGAGATCTGATGGTTTTATAAATTTGAGTACCCCTGCACAAGTCCTTTTGCCTGCCGCCATGTAAGACATGCCTCTGCTCTTCCTTGCCTTCTGCCATAATTATGAGGTCTTCCCAGCCATGTGGAACTGTGAGTCCACTAAACCTCTTTTTCTCTATAAATTAGTTAGTCTTGGGTATGTCTTTATCATCAGTGTGAAAACAGACTAATACAGCCTCCAAGATAATAAGCCTCCCAACACTCATCTGTCAACCTACCTTTGTGTATCCTGTCTTCCCTGGTTTGCTCTTGTAGGGAGGAGTCATCCTGGATTACGCTCATGAATATTCAAGTCACTGGAGAAACAAATTCCTATTGTAAAAAATAAAATGATGCCTGGCTTACATTAGTCTTTCAGTATGTGAGTCTGATTAGTTTGAGTTAGTCCCTGAAAATTGAATGCCCTCTGAGTGTCCTGGCAAAAGAATGTCTGGCCTTCCAATGCTGAAGACCAATTTGGGCCATTGTGAGCCTGCAGCATGGCTGGCCCTGGAAGCCTGGTTTGGAGGTTGGTTGGAATTATAGTACCTTCATGATGTCTTTTTATAATGGCAACGTGATTATATTGCTCATGATTAAGCAGAGAATATGTCCAAGGTCACGTGCCCACTGAAGTTGCTGGGTACCAAAAGGCAGATACAGAAATTGTACTCTGGAAAGTGGATGTGGGCTATCAAACCTAGACTATCAATCGAGGGATTCAGTGAGCAGTTTGTCTAGAGGACAAGAGCTGGAAATTTTTGACTTAATTATCATATAATCTAGCAAAAAAAAAAAAAAAAACTACCTAAGCATATTTATTTACAAGGGCATTGTAGTTAGGAGAGGTTAGACTTGTGCTAAGGCAATCATTCCCAAATTCCCATGGTTTAACAGAGAAAAATGTATTCCTGTTTCACAAGCTGTACTTAATTCTGGGAAATGTAGATGGAAGGAGGGTTCTGCTTTACGTATTTACTCAAGGACACAGCTGGGAAGGCTCCCCCAGTTGGAATGTCAGTGGTTGCCATGACAAGGAAAAAGAGAAATGGGAAGATCATGTTAGGGCTTTTCAAACCTCATTTCTTGTAACATTTTATCAGCCAGATCAAGAGTCTCATGGTCCCCCTATGTCAGGGAGTCTTGGAAAGGTCATCTTTTGTGTACCTGCCACAGACATATCTGAGAATGTGGGTAGCCGAGGCAGCATCTCAGACATGCTAGCAGCAGAGGGTGGGGGTGGGAAAGAGTTCTAGCTTTAGAGAAAGGGGATAGCCAGGCGCGGTGGCTCACGCCTGTAATCCCAGCACTTTGGGAGGCCGAGGCGGGTGGATCACAAGGTTAAGAGATCGAGACCATCCTGGTCAACATGGTGAAACCCCGTCTCTACTAAAAATACAAAAAATTAGCTGGGCATGGTGGCGCGTGCCTGTAATCCCAGCTACTCAGGAGGCTGAGGCAGGAGAATTGCCTGAACCCGGGAGGCGGAGGTTGTGGTGAGCCGAGATGGCGCCATTGCACTCCAGCCTGGGTAACAAGAGCGAAACTCCGTCTAAAAAAAAAAAAAAAAAAAAAGAGAAAGGGGATATAGAGTGTCTGCCCCCCAATAGAATGTCCAGTTCTCTGTCTGAGGTATCCCAGCATTTTACTAATATTGGGAAGGTGAGTGGCGTTTTCCAGTTGAATAGATAGAACACTCTCTTATTAAGATTCTATTCAGATGGCAGGGCGCGGTGGCTCACGCCTGTAATCTCAGCACTTTGGGAGGCCAAGGCGGGTGGATTACGAGGTCAGGAGTTCGAAACCAGCCTGACCAACATGGTGAAACCTCGTCTCTACTAAAAATACAAAAATTAGCTGGGCATGGTGGCACACACCTGTAATCCCAGCTACTCAGGAGGCTGAGGCAGGAGAATTGCCTGAACCCGGGAGGCGGAGGTTGCAGTCAGCCAAGATTGTGCCACTGCACTCCAGCCTGGGCAACAGAGTGAGACTTCGTCTCAAAAAAAAAAAAGATTCTATTCAGACAAGCCAGGGAGATGCCTCCCCACAACCATTTACATCTAACCATTTCACAGGCACAGAGTAATTCCCCCCTCATGACTCTGTTTCTATAGAGAACTTTAAGAGCCTAGTTCTGAAAAGCATCCTGCAGGGGGTTGTAATATTCCGAGACCCTCTTGCCATTGCTGTTATGATCTCTTGAGTTTAGGGACTACACTTAACCACAGGTTGTTTAACATAAATAATATCATCCAAGCTAAATTTAATTGTCCTCGTCTCCTGCCTCAGTTTCCAAGAGAGCTACTTCCTGTGCTCATATGCCAAATAAGGAAACCAAAGAGTGAGGGTGTCAGAAGAGGAGTGGGGGGCAGTAGAGAAGCGGCCTAGATGATTTTAAAGATAGCATGCCAGTGGGTGGGCTTCACGAGCTTTCTGAAAACTTCTGGAAAGTTGGATGGAGCTGAATTCATTTGAAAAAACTGGCATGAGATGGACAGAGAGGAAACTGGGAATGGAGGACTCTTAAGATCTTTATCCTTTGGGGTAAGAGGAGAGAAAGGAATCCACTAGTGGCTTGTGATAGCCATGAATTAAATCACATATTTTTATGAAATAAGCCTGACAAAGTCTTAGCAAACCTGGTAGGGGACTCTGGAGTGATAATTGCTCATCAGAGTTGTGTCCTGTCAAGGCAAACTGGCCAGGCTTCCACCGCCCTCAGTCACTGGATGTGGGTTGTGGCTGCCTGGGGAAGGACATGACCTCATGCAAGCATTCCTTGCAGCTGAGCCTTCACTCATCCCTTGAAGGGGGATCTAGACAGCACATCACCATATGTACCACAAACTTTGTGCCGATAGCTCTCTCTTTGTTTTGGATTTTTACCCTGAGATAAACTCGAGAGATCCAGCCACGTTTTAGAGTTAGACTGTTTGGAAACTCCTGCAAATATATCTGGCTTGGATGGAAAGCCTGGAGTGTAATCAGCTTAGCTGGTGACCCATTTCCCCCCTCACTGGTTAGCTAAGCGGATTTTCCCTGCTGAGGCCTTTTG